CCTGATGGCTGGCAACATGACATTTCAAACTTTCCAAGACTACGCGTCATGGACGGGGAAGAAGGCAAAAATTGCAGCAGTCACAAGCTGCTTACACAGGATACGTAAGAACTCCATCTCGAGTCCTGGTATGGTTGGAACTGTCATAGCACTGAGGATGGAACTCCGGAGGAAACTGACATTTCGTTAAAACTGACATTTTTTTCTAAATTCACGAAAGTGGACTTAGTCAAATTTCATTGCTCATCGGGTGAGAAAGTGGTTATCTCACTTTGTCCATCTGATGTACCTCAATGTAAAGTACCGTTAACATACATCCGATGGTCAGATCATCGGGAGTTGCCACGACACCTGATGATCTGATCATCCGACGTCATGGAGACAAAAAAACACTTAAAAACGTTGTTTTTTGGTACGCTCAATTTCGTGAATTTGGAAAAAAATGTCAATTTTAACGAAATGTCAGTTAAGAGGAGTTACCCTGAAGAACTGTTTTGACAGGTGATTAGGAATTTTGCGAGAGAGAAGGAAAAAGTATGGAAGATGTTTACTGAGTTGATGTGTGCAAAGACTAGCTCTGGTAGGGATCCATGTGTGTTTAGATATGATGATATTGATCGATGTTAGGCTTATGCAAGTAGGTATACATGTGAGGGAAGCATACGTAGTTTAGAGCGACCAGGGTTTCAACCCATTGATCTGCTCCACGTTTTTAAAAAAGAAAACGACTCTGGTTCGATCCCACGATGTGTTACAAACTGTGTTTTTCGCAGCAGATTGGTTCGAAAAACGCCAGGACAGATTTCAAACCGGGGGTTGGTTTATATGACCCGGTAGGGCCCTGACCCCTAGTACCTGCCCGAAATAGTCTAGAGGTGCCTGTAAGAATGACGCTAGTTAAAATTTTTTGAGTGAATCGAGGGTATTAATAAAATGATTACGGTGTTAGTACTCCCTTCGCCCCTTGTGTGCACAGGAAGTCAGGAGCGGACAGATAGAGGATAGAGGGATGGTTTGTGCTTGAGACGGTGGTGTCCGCACTGGCACTTAGCGCTGCACTTCACGATTTTGTCACGAGCAATCATGGTACGGACAATGTATTTCGTACACTGCTAATTGTACAACTATTCGTTGTCTTGTTGTGTCCTGCCATTGGGCATGATTCTTATGAGTATGATGTTTTGAATGCTTATCCCACCAACAATTACAGAAAAATGAAAGAAAAAGAAAATTATCTTTTTTATTACTTTATTTTTTATGAAAACGCTTTTGTCATTTACACACCCCTATTGGGCTGATACATGCAATTATTACAGACACTTCCTGCGTACCACCAAAAGAGTTACTCCAATGACATGGTTGTGGTATGTTGTTAGCAGACTATGGGGGGAGGGTTGTTTGAGTACTTAATCTTGGGGTGGTCTGACGAGTTTATGTGTATGTAGGTTGTGTGTGGTGTGTGGTCCGATGATCTTGGGTCATGTCTCTTGTACTCACCATAGGCGGAGTAGAGGAGTTAGGTTGGGTAGGGGTCTTAGGTTTAGGCTTGGTAGGAATTTATGAAGAGATTGTTGGCTTGTTTGTGTGCGTGGTCTCGGTCGTATGCACGGCTCTGCTGGTGTGTCATGGGTGTGACTGGGTATCATGGTAGTTTTGTGACCCCATAGTACACCAGTGAGCGTCCATACTTACATTATATTCCAATTTTGGGTCCCAGTTCGGCCCCACCCTCTACACCCCCCTTGAGTAGTGGTAGGGGTTGGGTGTTAGGTATATACGATTCCCAAGGGCAGACATCATATCTATCTTAGGCTGCTTGCAAGTTGGGCTTCATATAGGCTGGTACCTATCTGCATTTTTATTGCGGGGGTTGATTCGGGCGTGAATCTGGGGAAGGGTCTCGGGGTAGCGGTCTTATCTTAGGCAGGAGAGGTGGGTTGTCGCATTGATAGTTGAAGGGTGTAAACACCCATAGAGTCTGCTAGATGTGATACAAGTGGGGAATGACCACATATCTTTGACCCCTCTTGTGTCCCAGTCGTCCTCGAAAATACGGGGTGTCCCTATGGTAGCGCACGGGGTAACCTGTAAGAGATCCTCGGAAGGTGTGGGTTGGTGTAGGTCACGTGCCTCGTTCTCACGCTCCCTGACAAGGTCTCATTGCCGGTACCACCTGGTGAGCTCCTCATTCGAACTCTTGCGTGAGAGGTCGAGGTATCTAGGACCACATTGCCACGTTTATTTCCAGAGCGAAGAGCCTCGGCTGTCCATATCTCCGCATTGACCTCAGCAGCTTCCTTCCCCTTCGTCAACTCTAAGATTCTGTCCTCCATCATTGCAAATCTTCTATCGGCAGCAACCCTCATTTCTTCATGTTCTCCTCTTAATTTTTCCACCATGTCAGCATTCGAAGTCATCTTCGTCGCACAGGTTGTTTGGTGTTACGTCGTCCTTCTGCCTAGTCAGTCCAGCCAGGTCTTCTTGCAACTTTGCAATCTCGATAACTTCTTGGTCTCACCGATCAATCATTTCACACACTTTCTCCCACTGTTTACTCAGTTCTTGACTCAGTTTCAGATGATGTTCCTCTCTCTCCAGTTTCTCCCCAATTCTCCCCTCTTCCTCTTCTTTTTCCTTCTTCTTTCATTCGGCTTCCTCCTTCATAGCTACTTCCTTAGCCTCGTCAGCTTCATGTTTCACCTTAATTCGTCCCACTATCTCTTCTAACGTAGACACCCTATTGGACAACCACGTAGAGTAAGTCACGGCTGCGGTCCCTACTCCGTTAAGGTTGCTTTGAGCTGTCACCAAGGGTTGTGCCAGAACGATTGCCGTGCTAGTGCTCGCTTGCCCTCCATTGAACCGTATGTCTGGCAGAGGACAAAATCTTGAGATGTGCCCCTGTTGACCGCAGTTGTAGCAGCACCTGTTGTCAGCAATCCGCAGGTTCCCGTTGGTCGCCATCGAAGTCGAAGCCACCCAAAAAGTAGTACAATTTCTACGTTGGTTACTCCGTGTGGGAAAGTCTACATACGTAGCCATTACGAATTGAATAGACGAAAACCACGTTATGCCAAACAACAGACAGAACCACGAATGAGGAAGAATCAGGAGGGAGGAAGGAGAGAAGTGGAGAAAGAAAATGGATACAGAAAAGACCCAGAATGAATCCCGAACGCAACTTCTTCTTCGAAAAAAAGAACATGAAGCCCATGACGACTTTCGTCGTATGTGGCGATTGACCCGACCAGTTTCGTGCGGCCGCCAAACCGCACTCATCAGGGGTCTTAGAAGTCGGTATCCTATGAGACACTCAATGACTTCTTATCTGTATCCGTCAGTCAAGCGCCAAAAAAGCTCAGTCCTGGAAAGATAGAGACTAAAACTAATATGCTAGTACCGGTTGTTCTCGCGGGTCTTCTAGAAACAGCTAAAAACTAATCGTTACTTCCAAGGCTAATCGTTGTTCACTAAGTACTATTCAGAGTCCAGTGATTGTGGCCCTATCCAAAAAATAATCAACAGTTCAACCGCTCGAACCTCACAGAAAACTTCGTACAGCCCTCTAAAACAAGGCCTCGTCCGAGAAAGTGTCCCACCGTTTGACAGTTCGAACCTCACAAAATCTTCAATGCTTGCAACCTCGTGCTCCACAGTTCAATTATTCGAACCTCGCAGCTTTCTACATAATATAGCCTCTTCAAACTGGACCCTTATTCAGGAATGTTCCATAGTTTAAAAGTTCAATCTCGCAAAATCCTCACAAACCCCACTACAGACTGAGCAGTTGCCACACGGCACACGAAACGAGGTTGGGCATAGGGTCTCGCCACACGGCACACGAAACGAAAACGAAACGAGTGCAATACACTCGTTACTATTTATAGCAAACCGACGAACCCAGCAATTTTCTGATATGCCCCGCCACACGGCACACGAAACGAAAACGAAACGAGTGCATCGGCCCACCAAAGGTGGCAAAATACACTCTTTACTATTTATAGCAAACCGACGAACCCAGCGATTTTCTGCGGGAAGTTCGTTTGCCGGTCGCACTGCTGCACCTTTTCGGATGGGACAAGGCGGCGGCCGTCTGGAGAAATGGCGAAATGGTATTGGCCTCGTCGAGTGGGACAAGGCGGCGGCCGTCTGGAGAAATGGCGAAATGGTATTGGCCTCGTCGCACTACTCGCCATCCGCCAACATTTTGATTGCATGTGGACACCATTCTGTCGAAATGCATTCGAAATGTTGGCGGACGGCGAGTAATGTAACCGGGCTGCTCGCACAGCGCCATTCACAAATTGTGCAAGAACTTCTGTGAACGCACGAATGTTCACCAATTTTCGAAGTTTCCCAAAAAAAAAAAAAGCTAAAAAATGAAAAGGGCATTTGTTACCCCAAATTCCCTTGCCCCGCTAACAAATGGGCAGACGAATAGTACATTTACGACTTCGGCAAAACTGTGTTACCGGGGGCCAAGTCCCACTTACCCGAATTCTCAATTTCTGACCGTAGATTAGGAAGATCAACGGCCAGAAATGAAGAATCAGCGTAAGTGGGACTTGGCCCCGGCCCTCTACCCTTTCTTTTGGGGAATTTGGGATTATAGGTCAGTGGGGATTCCCAGGGTTTTCCCGTCATTTCTCCCCTGTTTCTCGTCTCTCAGCGGTTCCACCCACAGGCCTCCCTTTCTACAGGCCTCCCTTTGCCCCTCCCGTCCGTCAGAATCGAGCCGATACATACATACATAAGTAGCCATCGTTCTCCCGGCCAACGCGTTCGTCTGCTCGTGGCAGTTTCGCTCGCGTCTAGTGCCGAAAGTAAAAGTAATCTGTCCATATCCTGTCTCTTATACACATCTAGATGTGTATAAGAGACAGCCCTTTGCCCCTCCCGTCCGTCAGAATCGAGCCGATACATACATACATAAGTAGCCATCGTTCTCCCGGCCAACGCGTTCGTCTGCTCGTGGCAGTTTCGCTCGCGTCTAGTGCCGAAAGTAAAAGTAATCTGTCCATATCTGTGGTTGGAAGGTCTAGAAATCGCCGAGTTCTCTTTCCTCTTTATCATGTGCTTCTGCTTCTTCTGCTTCCATAGATAGCTTGGCGGTCCATGACGGCTGCGTCAGCACTGAGTTCGCCACGTTTTTGTTTTCGGTAGCAGGCTGATCGACGAGGCGATTGTTGGTTCAGGTTCTTCTTTCTTGGACGATAACTCTACAAGCATGAGTGCGTGTAGTCGTACAGCAGGCTCTTTCGAGACCTCGATTCCAATGCCAGCATCCAAGGATGGGCACAAGGACGGCGGCGAGGAGGAGCGCCTTCAGCCGGTAGAGGCGATCCTCAAGGTCGCCAACCCGGGTCCTATGGGCCTGACTGCCTTCGCTGTCACGACCTTCACCCTGTCTATGTTCAATGCTGGTATCTTGCCTAGATCCGTCGAGAAGGTCGCTGTTCCGCTGGGTTATTTCTATGGAGGGTCCGTGCAGCTGCTTGCTGGGCTCGCTGAGATTCTCAATCGGAATACCTTCGGGGCCACGGCGTTCTGCTCTTACGGCTCGTTTTGGATTGCGTTCGCCTATTATGTGACGGCCATCGTACCGAGCTTCGACGGGCCGGAGAAGGAGAACGTGCACGTCGCCACAGGGGTGTTTTTGTTCACCTTCACGGTGTTCACGACGTACATGGCCATCGCCTCAACKAGGACRTTTCGTGCGCTCACCGTCGTCTTCGTGTGCTTGGGTCTCACCTTCTTCTTTCTCACGATCGGCGAATGGGGGGAGTCGGACGGCGCCAAGAAGACCGGAGGCTTCTTCGGGAT